AAGATATGTTTGCCCCACATGATGTGCTGCCATATTAGTCAGGGTTCTCCGGAGAAACAGAAGCAATATAGCAATATAATATACAGCCACGCATTGCTTAATGACAGGGATATGTTCTGAGTAAAATGTTGCTAGATGATTTCATCATTGTTCAAACATCATAGAGTGTATTTACACAAACCTAGATGGTATAGGTACATCTAGGCTATATGATACCGTCTATTGCTCCTAGGCTACAAATCTGTCAGGATTTTACAGTACTGAACACTGTAGGTAATTGAAACAGAATGATAACATTTGTATATCTAAACATAGAAAAGGCATATGAATATATGATCTTATAATCTTGTGGTATCACTGTCCCATGTAGTCCATTCTTGACTGGAATGTTGTTATACATGCATGACTGTAGATAAAGAGATTTTTAAACTATGAAGTTGGCTTCTGTGATTATGGAGGCTGCAAATCCAAAATCTGCAGGGGGAGTTGGCAGGGTGGAAACACAGGAGAAGCAATGTTGCAGTTCCAGTCTAAAAGCTGCCAGACTGGAGACTCAGGAGAGCTGTGGTTGTAAGGCTGGCAGGTTAGAGTAGGGTCTGGAAGCAGTCTGCTGTAGAATCAGGAAGAGTTGATATTGCAAATGAAGTTTCAGACCAGAATACTAGAGAATTCTCTCTTGCTCAGGGGAGGTCGATCTTTTGTTTCTATTCAGGCATTCAGCTGATTGAATGAGGCCCATACACACTAGGGAGACTTTACTCAAAGTCCTCAGAGTTGTGTTAATCTCATCCAAAACATCCTTACATAAACACTCAGAATACTGTTTGCCCAAATATCTCAGCACTTCATGACCCAGCCAAATAAAATTAACCATCACATGTGCATTGGTGTGGGCCTATTTTTATCCATTGTGCTACACTTTCAATGGGCCCTTTTAATCTATAGACTCATGTGCTTCATTCAGTTCTGAGACGTTCTAATGAATCTTTTCTTTGAATACACTCTTGTACGTTTTCTTTGTTCTCTATTTCTTGAACACCTGCTATTAGGATTTTTGGACTTTCTAGTAGACCTAGGCTGTTTGCTTCCCCTCAGGTGTCTGGTAATCCTTGGTTGTTTTTATACCTTCAAGAGCAGGAAACTAAAAAGCTGCTTGCAGGCTCTGAGGGGGGAGGGGAGAGGGGGCACTTGTTGAATGTGACCTTCACAATGGGATGATCTGGTCAGATTACTTGGGAAACTCCACTGACAGCATGTTTAGATCTGTTTTATTTGGCTAGTCAAATTCCTCAAAGAAAACTTCTGATCTCTTTTCTTCAAGAGAGTGGTCTGGGCACCAACCTCTAGTTGCTGACTGGGGAAAGGGGCTTGTTGTCCCAGGACCCAGATATATGTTTCCTAATCTCTGTTTTCAGTACTCTATGTCCCACTTTCATTCATGCCTTGTATTCTCCAATCCAGAGTCCTTCTATTTTATTTTCTCCAGAGAATAAACCTCCATGGTCTCACCAGGGCTGGGGAGGGACAGTGATCCTGCTGCAGAAAAGGAAGAAAACCCGAGGTGCCATTTACTGCACAGGTAGACTTTCAACCAGTTGTCCTGTTTTCAGCTCCTCCCCACTCAGCCCCAGTTAAACAGGTACCCACGCTGCCACTACTTAAGCCCATTGGAAATTCTGCAGTGTAAGTTGGGATGGGTGTCAACGTTCTCTGCTGCTGACTTCAGATCCTGGGTTTTTTGGGGAGGGGTGAGAGGGAAGGAGTTTGCTAGGCCATATTTTCATTCCATCTGTTTTCCAGCTTTACAACTTGCTTCTCTCGTCTCTTTTCCCTTTTCTCTCCATCCTTGTGGATTTATGCCTTTGTGAAAACACTTCACTGTTGTTCTAGTGGAGTTTTGAGAAGGAACAAACACAGATGTCTGCATGCAATCCACCATCTTTACCTGAAGTACCTTCTGTGAGATCTTACAAAATAATTTCCATTTATGAAGTTTTAAAAAATCTTTTAAATATTTTTGAAGTTCAGAAGTTAAGACTTTTTTGTAGGCAAACATAGTTAACGTTGTGTATATAATTTCTTTGTTTCCAAAATTAAGTTTTTTTCCTATGTTAAGTTTAGTTAAATATTTACTTTATCCTGTTCTAAGTAAAATTGCCAAGAAGGCACAATTTTTCTGGTACCAGCTCCCAATCTTCCATTGGTAATGTTCACCCCTTCCCCCACCCCTTCCCCAACCTTTCTCTCTTTCTGGAGTGCCTTCAGTGCTTCTAGAATCACTGTTGTGGTGTCTACTTATGAACGTCCTTAGAGGAGGCCTTTTCTTTCCTTCCATGGTCATTCCCTATGCTTCAGGCTTGTCCCAACTCCTTTCTTCACATTAAAACTTACCTCTCAGGGACTTATTTCACAATACTCTGTTTTTTCTCAGCTAATAAAAAGTACCAAGGACTGTTTTAGAGGAATTTTGCATTTATTATTGACGTAGTCCTATGACAACCTGGTGTGATACATATTATTAGTCCCTTTTCATAGATGAATAAATTGAGGCTTAGAAAGGTTAAGCCTCTCTCGTCCAAGATCACAAGGCTATTTCATCATATAAGGTCTACAGTACAACAAGTTTGTAATTACCACATGCAGTCTTGTACTAGATAATGTTTACTGTGCTATCCCATACAACAAGACTTTACAAATTTTTAGTAGCTGTTAAGACAACACTGTAACCCAAATGGTAAGTCTCATTTTGAATGTTTCAAATATGGCCTAGCTTCCATTTGGCATTTTGTAACAGTGTAGTCAAAGATAAAAGAAATAATGCTATCTATGGCATGGAAAGCTCTTTGGGAGCTACATTATAAACTGCTGCACTCAGCCAAGAAACATGAGTTTTTTTAAGCAGAGTGTTTAAGTGCACTGATGAGTTATTAGTCACATACTTGAATCTATTCTCTAGTTTGTTCCTGTGTTTTCAATTCAGAGAAAGACTTTGATTCTTCGTGGAAACAAATGATAGAAAAATCATAAAGTATCTTATCTGATTATTTCCATCTAAAGTCATACAAAAACATAGCGTTTATCTTTTCATACACAGTTCTTATTCTTATTGCTCTCTTAAGATGGTTTTCAAGAAGGAATAGCAAAAGATTTTTCATCTTTTCCAGAGATTCAATGCTATTTCCCTTCTTAAAAAGCACTCAACTCTGACACCAAGTTAATCAGATTCCCAGGAACGCATTCTGTCTCTCTCTCTCTTTCTCCCTCTTTTTCTCTCACATATATTCTCATCACATATTTATTACAAAACTATTATGTGCATTATGTATGATATCAAAATGAATAAGACAATGACTCTTTAAAGAGCTCATGGTCTAAAGAGAGACAGAAACACTATAATACATTATATAATGTAAATATATGAAAATATTTTTGAAAACTCTATTACTATAGGGAAAGGATCATGAATTTTCTTTTCTATTTTTCAGAGAATGGAAGTTTAAGACTTCTTGCTCTCCCCTACAAAAAACCCTGAATCTTCTCATATTCCTGTCTTCTGGTCTCAGTAATAGGCATTTGATCAGTCTTTTAAGCCAAAAACTTCTGCTGTTTCTTACTGTCTATGTCTATCCCCTTCTCACTGCTCCAAATTCAATCTATCAACAGGCACTGCCAGTTCCTACTCCAAAATGCATTTAGCAGTCACCCAGTTCCCTTTTTGACTGCTACTACACTAATCTAAGCACCATAATTTTTCACTTGGATTACTGCAATATTTCCTGAATAGACTGTTTCCTTCCATTTCTTCCATTCTTGTTTCACGACAATCTATTCTTTGAACAGCAGCCAGAGGATTCTCTAATAACTATAGATCAGCTTCTGTTTTAACCATAATGGAGTAATTAGGTTTGGATTTGCCTTTCTCTACAACTAGAAAACTAGACAAAACATTTAACAACTGTTTTCCATTCATTTGACAACTAGTGGTGTAGGACTGCTATCTTCGAGGAAAAGGAAAAAATAAGATAGGCTTGATTGTTCCATGTTAGCTGAGATGATGTCCAGGGTTTGAGTAATGAGCAGCAATCCAAACAGATCCCAAAGGCGCTGCTGAATTGAGGAGACAGAGATCAGTTTGGGGAGGTCATGGCAGCTAGAATTTGTGGACCACCATTTTATCCAAACACGATTTTCCACATTGAATTGCCCTGTTTCCTTTGTCACAAATCAACTGACCGTATAAGTGTGCACTTATTGCTCAGTTTTCCTTTTCACTTTAACTATTTATCTATCAGTACATCATTATCACATTGTCTTTGTTACTGTTCCTTTATACAAAGTCTTGTGATAAAATAGTATATATGCTCTTATTTTTCAAGGTTGTTTAGGCTATTCTTTTGCATTTCCATAAAATTTTTAGAGTCAAATTGTTGATTCCTAGGGAAAAAAACCTATTAGGATGTTGATTGAAATTGTGTTGAATCTACAGATTTTGGAAACCTATTAATCTGAACAATATTGTGTCTCCTAATCCATGATCATAGTATAGCTCTCCATTCACTTAGGTTTTCTTTAATATCTCTTTCAATGTTTTTTATTTTTTAGTGTAGAGGTCTTGCACAATTTTTATGTTTGCTCTTTTTTTTTTCCTGTCATCAGTATTTTTATTTAGTTTAGTATATGCTACAATATAAATACATAACAACATGCCCTTTCTTAGCATGGATAGTCTTTTACATAACTAAAATTTGTGGCTAACAGTTTATATAACAAAAGAAAAACTAAATCCATCAAGAAAAGAAGCACCTAAGAAAATAATACATTTTATATAAATTATAAAGGACAGTTACAATGAGCATCCATTTATTTCCTCTCTACCTCAATTTTACCAAATAGAGTCAATATGTATTCTCTGTGAGCTGCTAAGAGCACGTACACAAGCGCAGTGGCCTTTTAAAAAGACAGTCAAAGACAAAATATTATCTTGATGTCATACATTGTTTTTAATTCTTAACTGGAGTTGATTTCTTTTCACAGTCTTCTTTAGGTGGTGATAATTTGGCAAGATTTTCATCAAGAGATCCAGCTGTAGTGTCTGGGGCTGTGGTCGCTCAGTCTGCACCCGGCGAAGGCAGTACACTGAAGGCAGGCAGTGCAGTGCAGTCTGCACCCGGCGAAGACAGTGATATATGGTGCAGGGATGACTTCAAAAGTATTGAGGTTGCAACAAGCCCCAATGATGTAGCCACTTGTCAGTATTACATTTCTGCCTACATATGCTTTTGATTCAATAACATTATTATCTCCCATTTTCATGACTTGGGAATAACAGCCGACTTCAAACACATTATTGGTGCCAATGATCATAGGTTTGGGTTCAGGCTCTTCAGTGTCAGGAGTGATATTATCTGGATGAGCATTTATGATAAGGGCCTGCTCTTCTATCAGGTTACCTTCACCAATCACGATTGGTCCGGCTTCCGCAATAATTCGTGCTTTAGGGTGGATCACTGTCCTAGGTCTGATAGTAACATCTCCTCTGATTTCACTTTCTACACATACAACTACTCCAGGAGCAATCTTCACACTCTTTTGAGTCTTCTTCGCCATGGTACGGCCCCTGTCTCAAGTTTGCTTTTAAGTGATTTATATTGTTGATGCTACTGTAAATGGCATTTAAAATTTTAATTTTCCCATTATATGCCAGTAAACAGAAATATAATTGATTTTTATACATTGACTTTGTATAATTCACTTATTAGACCTAGTACTTTTTGTGCATTTATTTTTAGGTTTCTGTCTAAACAATCATGTTATCTGTGAATAAAGGCAATTTTACTTTTTCCCATCTATTCTTTAATTCCATTATGCTCAGAAAATGTACTCTATAAAATTTCAATATTTTGAAAAAAATTTTGATATTTTTTTACTGCTTTCACATGGTCCATGTTGGTGAATGTTTCAGATGCCCTTTAAAGATGTTCTTCCATTGTCTTCTGGTATCTATTGTTTCTCACGAAAAATTGCTATCCATTGTTTATGTCATTGTTTTTCTGTATGTAATGATTGTCTCTGACTTCATTAAAAATAATGTCTTTAATTTTTTTGTTTGTTTGTTTTGTTTTTTTTGAATTGGAGTCTCACTCTGTCGCCCAGACTGGAATGCAGTGGCTGCTCCCGGCCACCGCAGCCTCAACCTGCTGGGCTCCGGCGATCCTTCCGCCTCAGCCTTCCGAGTAGCCGGAATTACAGGCACGTACCACCACGCCCAGCTGATTTTTTTTATTTATTGTAGAGACGAGGTCTCGCTGCCCAGGCGGGTCTCGAACCCGCGGGCTCAGGCAATCCACTCACCTCAGCCTCCCAAAGGCGCAGGATTACAGGCTGAGCCGCCGAGCCCAGCTTAATTCAGTTTTTAACACTTGGACAATGGTGTGCATAGTTGTGATTTTTTTGGAGGGTTATTTATCTTGCTAGAATATATTAAACTTTTTGGATATGTAAGTGAATTATTTCTGCCAAATTTAGAATAATTTCAACTTTTTTTCTTCTTGCCCCCTTCTCTTTCACTTTTCATTCTGGAACTCAAATTATACTTATGTTAGATCACTTAAAATGTTCCACACATCCACTGAGGCTATGTTCATTATTTTCCATTTTAATTCCCTTTCTTTTTCAGAATGAATAATTTCTTTTTCTTTTTTCTTTTCTTTTCTTTTTTTTTGAGTTGGAGTCTCATTCTGTTGCCCAGACTGGAAAGCAGTGGCACGCTCCTGGCCACTGCAGCCTCGCCCTACTGGGCTCTGGCGATTCTTCTGCCTTAGCCTTCCAAGTAGCCAGAACTACAGGCGCGCACTATCACGCCCAGCTAATTTTTGATTTATTGTAGAGACAAGGTCTCACCAAGTTGCCCGGGCAGGTCTTGAACCTGCGGGCTCAGGCAATCCACTCGCCTCAGCTTCCCAAATTGCTGGGATTACAGGCTGAGCCACTGAACCTGCCCAGAATGAATAATTTCTAATGGTCCTTCTTCAAGCTCACAGTGTGGTGATCATAAGAATCGCCTCCCAGACCCCTAGCTTTTGGGAGCATAATTGATGAGGGTCTGATCTGCTACACTGAAATTTATAACCATGTTCATACTGAGGTCTCCCTTCCCACAGTCTGTGGCCAGTGGAACTCTTAGCATGGCAGACTTTCTAAGGACTCCTCTAATGACTGACTTTGGTTTGAGGACTTCTTGATAGCCTTGCTGAATTTTCCTTAAACTTTAAGACAGTCTAGGAAGTTTCTGTCTAATCTTCCTTCCCATTCTCCTTCACTTCGAGATAGACTAGGACATGCTCACAGTTTTCCCCGATTTCCCCTCCCCTGCATTTTCTAGTATAATAGTTTGCCTGAATAAAATCCTTTCATGTTTAATCCATTCTTAGTGTTTGCTCTTAGGGAGTACCTAAGTAACACAAGTAAAATCATGAGTGATTCGACAACACGGGCAGTAAGACGAGGGTCTGGGATTGACTCACCCACCACCTGGCAGGCAAATAGGATGTCATTCTGTTGGCAGGTGGAGCAAAGACAGTCCCTGAAAAAAGGTAGCAGCTCAATTGCTGAATCTTTCACTAGCGGGTAGTAAACTGAGAAAATGTATTCATGGATAGCAATGTTGTGAAAGGCACGTTAACACAGATATTTTTTAAAATATGAGGAAAGGTCGGGCTCGGTGGTTCAGCCTATAACCCCAGAACTTTGGGAGGCCAAGAAGAGTGGGTTACCTGAGTCCATGGGTTTGAGACCAGCCTGGGGAACTTGGCAAGACTCATCTCTACAATCGATAAAAAATTAGCCAGGCACAGTAGTGATCACTTGTAGCTCCGGCTACTTGGAAGGCTGAGGAGGAAGAATCACCTGAGCCCAGCAGGTCAACACTGGGGTGGCCGTGAGTGTGCCACAGCACTACAGCCTGGGTGACAGATGAGTCTCCAACTCAAAAAAACCCCAAATATATATATATATAATATGAGGAAAAATACCTACAAAATCAGTGGAGCTGGCTAGTTATTACTAAATTGTGTTGTTGTTCTGATGAGGATAATCTAATGAGGACTACCAACAAAGACTTAGTGACTAAAGGGAAAAGCCCATACTTTTGCAGTGAAAGGGAAGATACAGTTGAGTGGCAGGCTATAGACCTAATTGTTAGAGTTGCAGAACTCCAAAGATGTTTCAATGTTCAGCCAAGGCAGGTCTGTGATGTGAATGTCAGAGGACTGATGGAGGAGTCTGGGTTCTTGAAATACGGGATGGGACATAAAAGAGAGGATGATTACCAGTCGTGGCCCGAGAGCAACTGCAGAAAGAGAGACTATGGTTTATCCCTCTAACTTACTCCTTTTGTGTTTCCCCACAGGATGAAAGACCCACAGGAATCATAAAGCAGCTGTTCTCAAAACCTGTATGGAAAAGTGACTTTGTGGGGTAAAAGTGGTAGACGGCAGCAGCCATGAGAATGCACCTCTCAGATTTCCAGCTTCGGGGAATGTAACTGCTCAAAGGCCACGGCTACTGAAAATCTGAAATCTGTTGCTGCCTTTGCACTTGACGTGAGTGAGTGTGGCTGGTAACCACAGCAAACCTGCTCCTGGGAGACACTGGACTCTCCTGATGGCTGACTTTGGCCCAAGGATTCTTCAGTGTCTTTCCAAACCTCTCCTCTTCACTTGGGATCAGACTTGCATTACAATCGGTTGCATCTCGAAACACTCTCCAGCTCCCTCCTCATTTCCTCCCACAATTGTTTCCACTAAAACAATCCTTGCACGTGTTATCCCTTCTTGGTGTCTACTTCCTAGACTACCCAGATTAACACACTGACCCTTTCTTCTGCTATCCCCAATCACTGTTAAGCCCATACATGTTTTCATTTCAGAAATTGTACTTTTCAGTTACTGAATATATGTTTGGCTCTTTTTTATAGTTTCCATTTCTCTGTTGACATTCCCTACCTATTATTCAGTCATTCTTCTAGTACTTTTTTTATCAGTTCTCTGGTGGAGGAAAAAGTTCAATTTTTAAAAATCTAAACAAGCAAGCTTTTTGTATAAAAAAATGGAAAGGGGAAAACGTGTCGAATTTCCTTGACTTTAAGCACTTCAAGATTTAAAGGCTTTTTTTTCTTCCAAGGAAATATTAAATTTCACAGTCACATTTCTTTTTTTTTTTTTTTGAGTTGGAGTCTCACTCTGTCACCCAGACTGGAGTGCAGTGGCGCTCCCGGCCACCACAGCCTCGACCTGCTGGGCTCCGGTGATCCTTCTGCCTCAGCCTTCCAAGTAGCCGGAATTATAGGCATGCACTACCACACCCGGCTGATTTTTTGATTTATTGTAGAGATGAGGTCTCACTGCCCAGGCGGGTCCCGAACCTGTGGGCTTAGGCAGTCCACTCACCTCAGCCTCCCAAAGGCACAGGATTACAGGCTGAGCCACCGAGCCTGGCTCACGGTCACATTTCAATTGACAGGAATTCACATCACAATGTTTGAGAAAGGATGCCATCTTTTCTGGGATTAAAAAACTGTCAAGTGATTGTACTACAGTTATATGAGATGTAAACTAGCAATAGGGGAAGCTGAGTGGAGAATATATGGGAAATCTCTGAGTTATTTTGCAGCTTTCATTCCTATTCTTTGAAGAAGGAGTCCTGGTGAATATAACCAATAAATAGAAGATATAATCATTTGATATTTGTACAGATAGACCTCAACAGGGAACCTCTGAAATACTATTTCTTTTCAGTGAACTGTAATTTGAGATTAAATAGATATGCTCCTTTCTTTCTAACATATTCTGAACAAATCCAACTTCAATTATTCTTTTCAACTAAGCATTAGCAATGCCTTTTTATTTTATCTGTGCCCTTATTTCACATAACATACCTTTCCAGGGTCATGTTATTCACTCTCATCTTTTTCAGCAGCCACCTCTGTGCTGATGAAGGTAAATTCATCTCTCCTGCTTAGCCCTCTCCTCAAAGTTTCAAGAACTAGATATTTGATTGCTGGTTAGCATCACATGCACCTCAAGGAGAATCTGTCAAAATGAAGTTAATCGTCTTTCCCACTGACTTTGCTCTTTTAAATGTTATTTAAAATACTAATGATGAACTCCAATAGGTGACATCCAACCATCAAGCCTGATCACTGATTTTGTCTCCTAATTATTTATGAAATCCATCATCTTTTCTCCTTACTACTACCATCATCTACTATGTAACATCCTAACTTTAGTCTTGAGCCCCCCCATAATATATCCCCCACATGCTGCCAGGGCTCTGTCTGAATTGCAAGGCTGTCTCTTCAGTGGCTTTCCATGACTTGCACTTCCCACTAAGAAAGTGCAAACTGGGCCGGGCTCAGTGTCTCAGCCTGTAATCCCAGCACTTTGGGAAGTTGAGGCTAGAGGACTGCCTGAGCCCATGGGTTCGCGACAAGCCCAGGCCACTTGGCAAGACTACTTCTCTACCATAAATAAAAAAATTAGTCAGCTGCTTGGAAGGCTGAGGCGGAAGGATTGCCGGAGCCCAGCAGGTCAACAAAGGAGTGGCCGTGAGTGTG